ACCATAGACTTTGCATGTAAACCTGCTGCTCCTGACGCTGAAATCGCGTTCGGTGTGAACGCACCATTATTGTAACGTCAGAATAACGTGCTTTGAGAAATACCATGTTTCCAGATACCTAAAAATACATGTAATTACAGCTAAAAAACAGCTGGGTGCATTTTTCTGGTGTTTGGACTGCTTCTCTAAGCAGTACAGAAAGTAAGTTTAAAAACATGAAAAAAAGTGAGTTTTGCATAACAGGCCCACTTTAAATGGAGAGTCCATTAATGTTAAGAGGTGATTTGTCAGATTTGAGCCAAAAAAAGTGCCAGACACAAGTCCTAAAAGCAAAATGTTTCATAGTCAACAGTGCTGCTGAGATGATTATTGGAAATTCAAATGTACAATGAGCTGATTGCTCTTTTTTTGGTTTTCCTTTATTGATCTTTAGGATCTAAACACTTTTTTTGCCACAAATTTTATTCACTAAAAGTTAGATTTTTTTTCTTTTTCTTTTCTTTTTCATATTCTTTTAACTGTCACCCTTTTAAAGYGACCTGCTGGTTTCCATTGCCCTTCTCATGTACTATTTGCAAAAGGGCTTCTTAAAGTGTAAAAAATATCTGCAAAGCCAGGGTTTATAAATGCTAAACCACCTTCATTGCCTATTTTATCAATCACATGTGCACCAGTAACTAGCTGTCACCAGTGGACTGAATCCCCTACACGCTGTGTGAGCAGTATAGATAGCGACAGTGAAGAAGTAGAGGCAATATAATAATTATAGTGCCTGACCCTCCTCTTGGCCTCTCTCTAAGTGTTGCCAGGTCAGCTGATTTTTCCAGCTTCTGTAGAGGATTGTTGCTGTAATTTCTCCTCGACGTGAGCTGTAAATAATATTTTGTGCAGAGCAGCCTGCCACGCTGTCACTGATGCACATAGTGCTGTTATCTCAAGCTCTCCCTCTTTGCCTTCTGATTCACATCCCCTCCCCTTGCCCACGGGAGGTAAACGTGCATCATGAGGATAGAAAGATGCAGAGTAGAAGAGAGTGACTGCTAACCAAATGGAACAGAGGAAGCTTCACGTGTCTCACTTTACTGTGCTCAGAAGACGGTGACACATGGTAATGGCAATGTGTGGCGCGGGGCTTTTTATGAGGAGGGGAAGCTCCAGAGGTTGTAAGGCTCTTGACAGGAATGCAAAATCCCACAGCTGCCTTTGATGTTYGTTCAAGCCCTTGAAGGCAGCAGCATGATCTGTAAGAGGTGGAGCCTGGTGGAAATGTGATAGGATTCATTGAGGGAGCTGCTGCCACCTTTACTGTACCAATACCATTGCCTCCGGTATCTTTTTTTTGCTCCATGGTAACTAGTAGGCCTCCTACTCAATAGCTTGGTAAAATCACACACGAAGTTTTGTGCATTGTACTTTGATTCTGTTATTGTTCTGAAGAAAATACTGTCTCTGCTTAGTAATGAAGTTCACCCTGGCTCCTGTGAATATTCTGGTTTAAAGATGAAAGCTCTGCAGGTGCTTTTATCCTGTGCACAAAGCCAGGAAGTTGATGTATTTATGCAAACCGTTTTTTATTTATTTATTTATTTTTTAGTATTTTGAATAGAAAGAACTTTGTCTTAAAATAGACATAGCCTGCTTTTAAATCCTTCTTTTTCACATATAAATCATTCTGTTATGGTCCATATAAAATTGAACTGCAATACTTTGGTCTAAGTTCCCCATTATTGTAACACCACAAGCCCCTCTTTCACCCTTTTTTCGGAGGCGTCTCTCAGATCAACCAGTGTTGACGTGGTCTCTTAAAATCCAAATGAGACACTTCAAACCCTGGCCCCGCTTCCAGCTTCCAGAGCGGTCCATTCTAGTTCGATAGCAGAGATATGACTATGAATGAAGATGACTAAATGATAGGGATGCACCGATACCAGTTTTTCTCAAACCGAGTACAAGTACAAGTACTTCAGATTGGGTACTCATCGATACCGAGTACCGATACGAGTACTCTTCAGAAGTACAGGGCTAAATGTAAATGTAAGGGTTATAACTTACTTAGTTATTGGAATGTTAAGGTAATAGAGATGTTTGTAAAACCTAAAATTTGAACAAATTTGAAGAACAGATGTAGTACTTCAGTCAAAGGAATAAGCTTATGGAATAATCTGGATAGTGATTATACAAATGCTGGCTCAATTTGTTTAAAAGAATGATAAAAGTTAATTTGCTAAAGAAATATTAAATTGTAAAATTTGTATTTATAAGAGCTGCTGTTTGGGGAGTTGAAGTTTTTGTTTATTTTTATTATCAGATATCAGTATATATCAGATATAAGATGTTTTCTTCATTCTGCTACCTTACATTTTATTTTATTTGTATTTTGTTGTATGTGAATTTTTTTTTGGTTTTAAATGAAATGAATAAAAAAAATCTGGCACTAAATTAGAAACATATCTAATGTTGGTCAAAATGAACCTCAGTTTAAACCAGTGGTTTATCCTKGTCCTCAAGGATCATTATCTTGCATGATTTAAGTTGATTCCCTGCTCCTCAGCGGGGTTTTAAGTTCTGCAGAAKCCTTTCAATCAAATCAGGTGTACCAAAGCAGGAAAACATCGAAAACATGCAGGATAGTGGTCCTCAAGGGCCAGGACTGAGAACCACTTGTATAAACAGTCACACCATAGACAGACGGTCTGTGAGGTGGGGGTTTACTTATTGATCCAAGTAATGATACTAACCTCAAGTCATGCATTTCAATCTTGTAGCATCACACGTCTTCAGCTACAGAACAGTCATCCTTCTCCTGGATGACTGAGAATCCACAGAAACATCTGATGGCAACGGTGTTGGACCGTGTCGAAACTAAAGTTCTGAATCAATACTTTTTGGATCGCTTCAACACGTCCTCAGCTACGGAACATAAGTCCAGTTGCTCCATCTTTTTCTTTGAATTTTCCACCTCCTTGATGACGTCGAAATCATAGAAACATCTGATAGTAGTGGTGTCGGACTGTGTCGAAACTAAAGTAGATCGATACTTGTGTTAGCTTCACTAGCAGCGTGTCACGTCGCTCACATTTTGTAAAATACAAGCTTCTCCGGAGCATCCGACCACAGGGAGGTTAAAACATAAACAGTGAACTAAACAAGCATGTCAGAGAATTATTTTACCAGTTCTGATTGAGTAACAACTTCAGACAAAGCTAAGAATAGAATCCACCATAGCAACCCGGTTCCTCCTGTAAACAGTGAACGGCATGTGACGGTGCGTCACTTTCATTCCATAAAATACACGCTTCATTGAAGCATCCGACCACAGGATGGTTAAAATATAAACAAACTAAACAAGCATGTCAGATAATTAACAACTTTACAATCAACAAGCTAAGAAGTAGCATTCACCATAGCAACCTGTTGTTTAATCCTGTAAACAGCGCATACGCGTCACATCGATGGCAGTCTGGAAGTTGTATTTAAAATGTGAACATCCACGCCAAAAAAGGTATCGGTTCAGTGTATCGGGACTTTTTGAACGAGTGCGAGTACTTGTAAAATGCTGGTATCGGACCCGATACTGGTATCAGTATCGGTGCATCCCTACTAAATTGGTTAGCTGGTAAGTCCATAACTTATTTAGAAGTTCTGTCGCAAATTCTGTGTTGTAATAATTCCCAAAACATCATAGAAAATAGAGAAAACTGTTTGAAAAATATGACCTAAACAGAATATAAACTTATCTCTGTAGCACCTGGAGAGGCTAAATTTTATGTTTCAGCACTCCGAGAGACTCCCAAGTACACAAATAAATGCATTTAACAGCCAAAAAAGTGGATTTTGCATGATATGTCCCCTTTAAAATAATTTGATTCTTACTTGTAGACATTTGATTACCAGCCGGGAAAACATGGTTAAAATGTTGAACATTATCTACTGTAGTTCTCTGTTGCCGGAACTTCAGCTTTTATTGTCTCCTCTCAAATCAAAATCTTTATTTTGACTTTTCCTGACATTTTGTACTCAGATTATTTTTCCTGTAATTG